CCTCTTGAAAGGATTTGGCATGTAACAGCCTGATTATTGATTGCTGTCCTTAAGAGAATGTGATCCTCTCCTTTGCACTGATCCTGTTAGCTTTATTTACCACAGCACTTGCTGAAACATCCTCTCGCAGAGATAATGGCTTCCTTTGGTTGCTGTCAGAACAAATGGAAACAAAAACATGCTGCTAATAGTTGTGTCCTACTCTAATTAATTAAAGCAAGACAAAGGCACTGCACTGCTGGGTTTGGCTTGCCGTTGCCTGGGTGCCTGGAGAGCCCCAAGCACAGGGGCTGACCACAGGAATACCAATAACACAGCAGTGCCTAACACAAAAGCTTTCCACCAGCCCAGAAAGTCAGCAAAACATTCATGAGGAATGGGAATATGTTTGGCACCCAAACTGGGATCCAGCCACCCAGAGGCTGCTGTTCTAGACAGACCTCAGCCCACACAGGCCTAAGGAGCTGCCAAAGATGGCAGATGGGTAAAGTACAAATTAGCAAAGGGTTTTCAACAGTCCTCTTGAATTTTTTGTGGCACATCTGCACCATACAAAAAAGCCAACAGCTCTGTCCAGGCAGGCAGTAACAGAGTTTTAGCAGGATGGTGGAAGAGAGGCAGAAATTGGCTCGCCTGCATCTTACAGCGCGATGCTAAGCAAGGAAATAAGTCCAGCTCTCTTCCCTTGCAAGTGAAGACCATAAACTCTGTACATCCTGCCTCTTCAGACTGAATCAGGGTCCAGTCACAACAAGTACGAGTTGAAGAAAAAGGAAACAAAGTAAATGGAGTGTACCAATCCAAACTAAAAAGTAGTGTCATAGCCACAGCACTGAGCACTCACAGAGCTCACACTGTAAACAAACAAGTCCCCATATCCAAGGGCTGCTGAACACACAGATACTTATTTATGATTTCTCTGCTGATGCATTGTGGCCACAAGAGCTTTGCCAGCAGTCCAGGACTATCCAGGCTTCAAACATCCCTTGGGAGGTGGTTTCAGGTGCCCCTTAGCTGTGGTGCAGCCTTGTGAATCCCTGCTGTCCTCCATGCCCACTTGGGGTGCTCCTCTGGGCTGGAACGCTCAGGACACCCCAGTGAGTGTCCTGTGGGTGCGTGAGGGTCTTGGACTCTTTCATTAATCCTTGGCTATCCCTGAGCACCTTATTTCTTACTTTCCGCTTTCCTAACCATCTCCTGAATTAAATCTTCATATTCATTATGTAGGAAGAAGGACTAGTGCATGTCACTAATTGAGCAGTTTAAAGCTATGATGTTAGAACTTGAGCACAACCTAATGAAAGAAATTATTTAAAATATAACCTTTGATACAAAATAAGCATACTCACCTCAGCTGAAGGTGCAATTGCCTTTTGTAGATGTACAGCATCCACAGCTGGAAGTTAGGCAAACGACTGGGCACCCTTCTGCTGCCCACAGCAGCTCTCAGAAGTTCATGCCAAAGAGGCTTCTCACATGACCCAGAGAGAACACAGCATTTTCTGTAGAGTTATCACCCTGCAAAGGTCAAAGAACAGTAGTTAATGCTCATTTCTCCTCTGAAACTAAGAGCAATAGTCAACGCTATACAGATTTGAGACAGGTTTAGGGAAATGTCCTGCTGACACCATTTTATCAAAGTTGCAAGAAAACTTAAGCTGTCCAATTTTTCAGAACCTGTCTTTGACATCTGGTCCCTAAAGAAATGAAACATTCAAGATTAACTAGATTCACTAATTACATAGTAAATAACTGCAATGGACAATAAAAATATCTCTTCCTACAGAGAAAAATAAGCATCACAGACATGAACAGACTTCCTTCTATAGAGTTTTTCATAAAAAATCTGCCCTTGAGGTGAACCTGCTTCAACACCACACTGACACCCTTCCTGCAGGCAGAGGTAGGAAAAACAGAGACATCCTTTGTATCTGGGAAGATGGGTTGCCCCCAGTGCTCCCCTCAACCCATCAGCAGGGGGGCTTCTGCCCCAGACCTGCAGCTTGCTTCCCACCAAGGGAAAACAGTCTTTGCCATGTATGGTCACACTGGCCACTGCTACAGGTTCCTTGGGGAAACAGAAAATCTATCACAGCAGCCAGAAATCCATGGCAACCTGGGCTTGCCTACCATACACATAACCCTTCTCCAGAGCTCTCTGTCTGGAATAACTTAAAATCCTCAGGGTAGTATCACCATTGGAAGGATAGGGTAAGACCCTTTCCACTCACCAAGGCCCTTAGGTATTTCCCAGTGCTGGTGGAAAGCCTTGCTCAAGAAATTCAGAGGGAGATTCAGTGTACTGATATGATAGAAATGTTGGTCTAAATGACTGAAGCATCTCACGCTCTTGGGAGCAGCATTTCTTTCTACAGAGTTTCCTACACTGCTCAGAGTATAAACAATGCCTACCTGCCCAGCAAACTCAAATTTAAAATAATCTGACAGAGAAGAGGCATCAGAGCAAGCTTCTTTTTCACTGCTGGCCAACAGGGGCACGCTCTGGCTGACATGGACAAGACCACCCTGGGTCTCCAGCTGGGACAAAGCCCTCAGTCACAGCTGGAACAAGTCATGCCAGGTCATGATTGTCTCTGCAGAAGCTCTCCTTGCTCCATTCCCACTCCAGCATAGTGCTCACATGTGGGCAGGGCTGTGGTGGGCAAAGTGCTACAAAATCACACAGAAATTAGCAAATTGATTAGCCAAGCACATAACAGTACAGTTCCCACTGTTTTCACAAATCTTACCTGAGCAAAATGTGGGCATCAGAGGTCAAAGACATGGCTTGTATTGTGGGCCAACAGTGTGAAATCTGACATAATCAAGCACCACTGCTCCTGTTGGGCACATCTGCTGAAACAGGGCCTTTAGGCAGCCACTAGACTGAGCTCAAGTTATGTTAAATTCTGTAAAAACACAGGAGAAATGGTGATCCCAGCTGCAAACTAAGAAATCGGACTTCAACCCCCCACCACTGAAAGGGGCACATAAACCATTTTGTATATATCAGAGGAATTTAGGAAGCTGCATTATAAAAGCATGAAGCACTAACTCCTTAAAAAAAAAAAATCCTCAACACAGTTCATTTTGAGCTCCAACAGGAAGTCTGCAAAGTCGTATACATTTTCTTATTCTTTTTTAAAACACTTCCTTCAATGCCTCCGGCTTGCTAAGCATCGCCTGATGCCTGCTGCATTAGACCGTACCTGTGAATTTGGAATATCTTACTCGGTCAAGGCGATCTAAGCAGTCTTTGGGCGGCGTGTTTTGGGCGGTGAGCTCTGCTCTCCGGGCATGCGATCACTGCCCTCCAGCGGCACCGGCCGGGCAGGACCTGCTGCGGCAGCCGAGCCAGGTCCGGGCCAGCGCTGCGCCCGCCCGGCTGCTGCAGCGCCCCTGAGCGCTCACTGCCCTCCCGCGGGCCCGGCTGCTGCAGCGCCCCTGAGCGCTCACTGCCCTCCCGCGGGCCCGGCTGCTGCAGCGCCCCTCAGCCCTCACTGCCCTCCCGCGGGCCCGGCTGCTGCAGCGCCCCTCAGCCGTCAGTGCCCTCCCGCGGGCCCGGCTGCTGCAGCGCCCCTCAGCCCTCACTGCCCTCCCGCGGGCCCGGCTGCTGCAGCGCCCCACAGCCCTCAGTGCCCTCCCGCGGGCCCGGCTGCTGCAGAGCCCCTCAGCTCGCACTGAAAGGCGGACAGCACTATAAGGGCAGCTGGGAGTTTGCCTTTCAGGAGCTGAGCCCTTCCAGGGAGCGGCCGAAGCACGGAAAGGGCACGCTTTGCCCAGGGGTTAAACAGCCGGCTCCGGCAAGGCGAGCGCGTCCTCTGAGGCAAGGCGGGTGCTTGGGCCCCCGGTGCGACTCCCGGGCCCGCTGCCCCGCAGTGGGAGCGCACTCCTTCCTCCAGCCTTCCCTCAGCCATCCCACCACCCAGGCCCTGCCGCCGGGAGTAGCGGCTTTACAGCTGAGATGCAGCTCTTTGGCCACACTTCAATGCAAACTCCCAGCTCTGTTGCCCACCTCAAATAACTAGATGCGCAAGCATGAACCAGGGTGAAATAACGATCCTACTTTCTTCAACCAGTCTCTTCCTTGGCTCCTGTGGTGTTTCCTCCATTAACTACCAGGAACCAGTAGGAATGCTTGAACAATGTACAACTAACAGGCATTTTTTAAATTATTAGAGTCATTTAAACATTATTCTACAGTCCTAGAAAGGGTGAGAATGTTAGAACACTGTCATTTTAAAAACCTGAGCTACAATGAGTTTGGGGGAAAAGGAGGTTGAGGCAGTAGCACTTTATAAGCACTTTATTGCTTGGCTTGACTCATTCTTTCTTACAAAATTCAGCACACAGCTGAAAGACAAATATGGTGAAAACCAAGCATTTCTTTAGGAAGATTTCTGGGGATTCACAGGGGAAAAACTCTTTAAGTGAGGGATAAAGAATTGCTGTGGGCTTTGCTCCTGCACTTTATCTTAATTTGTATGGATCTTGCCCATGTACTACTTGGGCAGCCCTTGCTTGTGCCTGGTAGTCTTGCAGATGCCTACAGAAAATCAAAATGCACACGGTGCTGCAGGGCTCCTCGCCCCACCTGCTCATCCAGAGCCCAGCAGTGAGCCAAGGCACTACTGTGCCACCACAGTGACACAAGGCACCATCTGTGACTTACTGAAGGGCCCCTTGTCCCCAAGAAGGGCAGTGTGATGCTTACAAGGGTATAAGAGAAGCCATGGGCATGGATGTGCAGAGCCACTGAGAGCCACAGGCACTGCTCCTTCCCACCCGATGGGGATGACTGTGCTGACCTCCTGAGCTCTTGTTGGTGCTTTTCCGGCCTGGCTGCCAGCCTGGAAAACAAAGTTCCCAACCAAAGCAAGAGCAAGTGGGGAGGAACACGGAGCTCTGACATTCCTGCCTGCCTCCAGCAATGTTTCCAGAGCAATAGGGCTGCAGAGGCTGAGCCTGCTGAGCTCCCAGATGAATAGAAGCAATGGACATGCTACTGCAGCATCATAATGCCCTTCAGCAAAGGAATTAGAGCTCAGACATAGTGCAGCAAATCTCCCCAGTTAAAATCCCTTCCCCAGTCCTGTTAGTACAACTACCAAAGAACAGCAACTTCCCTCTCTGTGAGGCTCTTTTAGACCCAGGCTTTATACCCTGCAAGCAGAGGATGGGATTTTACCAAGGGGGATTTTCTTGAAGCTGGAGGACTGAAGAGTACTACAGCTCACCGAGCCCAGCCAGGAAAGGATGGAGCAGCAGGTGATCTGCCAAAGCTTCCTACAGCTGCACCCACTGGCACTAAGGTAACAGCATCCATTTTGCTCTGGTTTAACATACTCAGCTCTGTTTCTGGAGTCCCTCCCTTGACCTAGGGGATGACTAAGGTCAATCTGAGGGCAATAACTGCCTTAGATGAAGGCAAAACCTGCTGAGGGATCTGGAAATATGACACCTGAGGGCATGGCAGGTGTTGGGAAGCCCATCCCCTATTACAGCCAGGGACAGGGAGCAGTGGCAGGATGAGGAACAGTCACCCTTGCAGAAGCTGGAGGATCAGCCACCTTTCCAGTCCCTCTTTGTGCCCCAGCACCAGCTGCCAGGCCCTGCTTCCCTGCACACCATAGCACTGAGTGCATGCCATGCCATGCAGCCTTGAAAACACAGGGCAGGTGCCAATCTGGACTGGGGAACAGCTGCCTCTTTGGCTTTGCTTGGACAGTTTGTGTGATGTCTGCAGCCCCAGCTGGATCACAGTGCAGAACACCCCAGGCCCTGAATGCAGCACTGCTGTGCCCATGGGTCTCAGCCTTGCACTGCAGAGGTCAGTTGAGGTACCTACCATGCAGAACTTTCCCTCAGCACCAAGGAGGGAATAATATTTTCAAAGTTGGTAAGGCTTGGAGAATTAATTCCTATATGCAACCAAAATATTTCTAGACAGTGGCAGATTTAACACATCAGGAAAAGAGATCTGAAGGCCCCTCAGGGTTTACTAGAGAAATTACTCATCTGCATAGTAATATCTTCCTAGACTTCACTATCAAAAGCTTTATTTATGGCCAGAAGAATAAGTATTTTATAATCTCATTAAAAACAAAGTACCCTGGATGCATCATGTTTTCAAGTATTGGCCTCAGCAGTATCTTGTGAATGAGAGAAGCTCTGGTTCATTTTCCTTTGTATGAAGTGCCCATCTTTACCTGTCTTCTCTACCCACCTTGAGCTGTCTTCCTCTTGCTCTCACCAGCTGTCTCATTGTGAGGGTGGACACTGGAAGAAGTGGAGGACCAGAGCAGAAGATACTGCACAGGATATTTCCAAAATGAATGGGGTTCACAGCTGATTGCTCTAAATGCAGATTTCTGTTTCAACAGGTGCTGAAGGCTAAGAGTGGTGTCCTGAAAGAGAGCTTACGTTTTGCTTCCATTAATTTAATGTTATTTGGACTTTTGAATCAATTCTTCCCTCACCTTCCCAGCCACTTACAGAAGAAGGGACCTCCTAACCCCTCAGCAGGATGAACAAGACCAAGGGAGCTTTTGATAGCCCAGAACTTTGGAGCCCAGGTTGCATGCAGAGCAGCACCTCCCTGACCAGTCTGGCACCACCCTTTGCATTTGGACAGCAGGCTATGGACACAGCCCTGAATGTAATCCTTATCGTGGTCCTCCTGGTCATCATGGTGTCTCTGGGATGTACAATGGAGATAGCCAAGATCACAACTCACCTCAGGAGACCTAAAGGTGTGGCAATAGCCATATTGGCTCAGTACAGCATCATGCCCTTGACAGCATTCATATTGGGCAAGCTCTTCCAGCTGGGCACCCCAGAATCCCTGGCCATCCTCATCTGTGGCTGCTGCCCAGGGGGAAACCTCTCCAACATCTTTAGCCTGGCACTGAGAGGGGACATGAACCTCAGGTAAGAAAAGCTATGTACATGTCCATTGTCCAGGCTAATCTAGTTATTTGGCTGGTTCAGAAACTAATTTAATCAACATTAGTAGGCCCTGAGAAGCTGGACAAAAACTGAAATACTAAATCCAAAACATTTTTAAAGCGCCCATATTGCTCAATAAGTTCATTTGTACCCGTTTTACAATGGCACTTTGTACCTTTCTCTGAATCATTGGCATGCTGTTCTTGATAACATGGGTGCAGGAACACGTTTTCATCTCCACGAAGCAGTACATAGAGCATATATATATATGCTGTGTCTATACATGCAGTTCTGTGTGCACTGATCATGCTGCCTGAAGAGGCTGCATCAGTGAGAAATGTTGAACTAGCAGAACACCACTGTCCAACAAACCCTAGTGATAAGCAAGACACAGCACAAAAATACAAAGTATTACTTTTTCTCTCAGTAGTGAATTTCTGAAATGTGAACTGTACCCTTGTCATGGGTATGTATGTACCCTTTCTCAGCATGAAACTTGAGTCATCTTCTCCCTTCTCCATTCATATCACATCCTTCTACAATCTGACAGTGATGTTGGGGAGATCCCAGAGACAAGTTGGGAAAAAGCGAGGTGAAGTCTTCTATTAAAATCATCTGTCCAGGCAAGTAATCAGATTAGCATATTCCATTTTTTAAAAGTGTTGTTCTTCTACTGAGGGGTCTTTTCTTCATCTCAGTGTTGTAATGACCGCATGCTCCATGGTCCTGGCAATTGGATTAATGCCACTGCTCCTGTACCTGTACTCGGGAGGACTGTCTGAGGGTGATTTGGAGGGCAAGGTACCTTACAAAGGAATAATCACCTCCCTGGTGCTGATGCTAATCCCCTGTGCCACTGGCATCATCTTGAATGAGAAGAAACCACAGTACACCGGCTTTATCACCAAGGTAAGAAGTATCCTGTGCTAGTTGCCTTTCAATCAAGGGCCTTGAGGAAGTTCTCAAAAATAGAATCACAGACATATTAACTTCTCTAAGACATGGCACAAATCAATGAAAGGGTTGAGGATAGAGGTCAAGACAAGCACTTCACCACTTTAATGTTAAAAAAGTTGCCCAAGAAGAAGTAATCCATCTTTTCCAGGCAAACATTTTGTAGCCAACTTGCTTCATTCCCCTTTTGCTTCAGTTTTAACTTTGGAAGTTTTTTGCTACATCAGCACTAATGAACATCATAGGCACTGCCCCCAACTACTGCTGCTACGAAAGCAGAACCCAGATAAAAACCAACCAACCAAATAATAGCCACCCCAAAACAGATTAAAACCAATCCACTGTTCTCAGAGGTCCAGCACAAGGCAAAAATCAAATCACAAAATTGCTGCTTAATTTGTTGAGATACCGATCCAACAGAAGCCACTGTATCACCAAGTGCCCACTTAGTGCCTGGAATCACATCCCTGCCTCCTTTATACATCAGGCATTTAAACAGCAAAACAGAAATCCAGACAACCAGATACACCATTGTCTAACTCAAGAACTCTGCTAGGCTCTACCTGTGAGTAAAGTGGTTTCCTCAGCACCTGCTTGGGGTAGACTAAAGCCACAAAGGGATCTGGACAGAGACAAGTAGCAATGCCTGAGAAACAAGCAGCTTGTGCAGAGAGAGCAGACATTTTGCACATAGACTAGAAAGGTATTTGGTTATTTAAGGTCTCTCTCAGTACTAGCCCAGGATGGTCTCTTGTTGGTTACTGATAACAAGTATGTACATGAAAGGCACTTATGCCCTCTGTGTACTTCACGTGATGGACAGAGAACTGGGTACAGCGGCTTCTAACAGCTGAGGCAAATTTTCCTGGGGATTTCTCTCTTATCCACACCTCAATCACTTTTACTTTAGGCAGGGATGGTTATGCTTCTACTATCATCTGCTGCTATAATTGCTCTGTCTGTGGCCAATATGGGAAGCTGTATCATGGTTGTCTTGTCACCACCTCTCCTGGGAACTTCTGCCTTAATGCCCCTTACTGGATTCCTGCTGGGCTATGCTGTCTCTGCAGCCTTCAAGCTTGATGGCCGGTATGTTCTTCCACACCTCCCTCCCCTCTCTCTCTCATCAGGAACAGAGAGATTTGGCAGCTCTGCTTTGTGGAGCAATGGTGAAAATGTGAATTTTAGGAATATACTTCAGTAGAACACTGACCCCATTCACCCCAAATAGGATCTAGGAATACAACCAGACAGTACAAGCTGGTCCCAAGCCAGTGACTCCACAGCTTGAGTGGGAAGAGAAATTACTTTAACCTCTGCTTGGCTTAGCTGAGAGGGGAGGAATAGCTAAGCAGGTGTCTTTGGCACAGGCACCTGATCACCATGGAAGGTTCACTGAACAAGTAGATGGATGGTTTTGGCTTAAGGCCACTAGTGACCTGCTAAACATATTACCACCCTCTGCTCTTGGTAACGAAGCTGGGGGAAAAAATTAGTTCCAAGAAAAAACCCAAATGCAAAACAACTGAGAAATACTAACAGAGCTCAAACCCCAAGTGACACGATTATTCCCCAGTTGGTTACTACCTCAAATCAGTGCATTCTCCACTACAGCCCCAGGAATTTAGGATGAAAACCTGACATATAAAACCTGCTCCTCCTTGTCCTACATAAACCAGGTAGGAATCCTCCTAGACTTTATACCTTCATATGCTGGACTCTTACAACTTCAGATTACTTCTCTGCAGGAAGCTGAAGAGTCCAGAGCAGGACACAAGGCCTCCCACGCCATTATGAACAAAGTTCACATTTGTAACATGATCTGTCTCTGCCCATTGCCAATGGAGCAGGAGGCAAAACCTTCTGGGACTGCAGTGTTGTTCCTGACAGAGCAGCTTTTAGCCACAGGAAGTGCACCAGCAAGGTAGGCAGGGCTCTGTTTCAGTTGCTTGGAAGCAATTTAAATCTGTAATCTATTTTTGTCCTTCAGGTGCAGACGGACAGTGTGCATGGAAACTGGCTGCCAGAATGTACAGCTTGGCTTAGCTATCCTCAAGGTTGCCTTTGCCCCAGAGATCATTGGCCCCCTGTACTTCTTCCCACTGCTCTACTTGCTGTTCCAGCTTGGAGAAGGATTTCTACTCATCCTGGCCTTTCGGATCCATGACAGAATAAAGCAAGCCAATGGCAAGTACAGATTTGCTCCTTTGGTTCTTATACTTTCCATGCTAAGCCATACATGCTTACAATGTAACTACCAATGCATCACTGCTTTATAAAGGCAGAATCCAGTTGCTCTTTAACTAGAGATTACATATCCAGCACAATAAATTCAAATCAGAGTCAAAAATTCTGAGGTAACTGAACACCTTAGAAATTCCATTGACTTCTTGCATGAGCAGGATGTTTCACACAGCTACATACTATCAAAACTACCAGTGCTCAGGTTTTCACAGTCTGGTGCTTTAGGCTACAGTGAATACCCTTTGAAAAGTCATGACTGGCAATGAGCACATGCAAAGAACAGAGGTGTCTGCGTGTGGCTAAAACTACACAAAAACATTACATATTCTTTGATGCAACGAATCCCAGCTTTGCTTCAAGCTGTTAAGTGATTCCCTGAGAGGACAGAACTGCCAAATACTGCAGTCAAAGGAACAAAACATTTGGATCTTTTGCTAGAAAAGTACATTAAAAAGTACATAAAGAGATTGAAACTTCATTTTAAAATATATACAATATTGGTACAGATGTGAAATAGACTCGTCTCCAACTCCAGGAGGTCCCTAATTCCAAGCTCAGCTGACTGCACAGATGGCTGAATGAGATCCTCCACCCACCACCCCTCTGATGCTGCCAGTACTTTTCTCCACTGCCTTGAGAGAGATGCAGTGGAGTAGCTGCTACAGAGCTGCTTCAGGATCACTTCACCACATCTTACAGCTATGCTGGAGGGCAACTTAAGGGGGGGGGGAAAACACACTCACTTGGATCCTTGGGTGTGTTCAGAGCAAAGCAGTTGATACTGGAAACAGACATGCAAGTGCTGGCAAGACTGTAACAAAAAGGGGTGATAATTGACTGTAAGCAAAATTCTTCTTGTTTTAAATTACCCAGTAATTCGAGTTGTAGTTGTCACAATCTTTCCCGAACCTGGTTTCAGAATTGCCTATTTTCACATTTTTCTCTTTCTTCAGATGCAGCAAAAATTATCTGTGCAGGTGTGGACACATTTAGAGCTCAAGAAATGAAATCAGTGTTAAGACATTGCAGAAACAGAGAAAACCAGGAAAACAACATATGGAATCTGCAGTAGTTGCTCTCACAACCCTCCATGCTCCACCTTCTGCAGCCAGCTCATAGGTCTCCAGCTGTTCTGTCAAACCTATCGATATGCTCACTTCACAGCAGCCAGCGAGCCATCTGCACCCACGGTTATTCCCCAGAGACTTTGCTCCAGACTAAGCCTCACTCTGTCAGACCACAAAGGAGACTTTCAGTGACTTCAAAGTCATTGTGACAACCCTTTAGGACAGCTGAAAAACATGCCCAGTGACTATCCCAGTTTTACCTGTAAGTAAATCACTGCCAACATCAGTTCCCTTTCTTAATTTCACTTACCTGTAACTGTCCTGCTGGCACATAATGGAAGCAGATCCTGACAATATCACTGCAGATTAATGTAATTCTTTTAACAGACCCAGAATGAGTTGTGAAGTTTCTCCATGCAGAAGCCAGTGAGATCAAATGCACAGCCAAGCAAGCCCATGGGCTGTAGGTTTCTCCCATCCTCCAAGAGGTACTATGTGGTACCACTGATTCCCCAGAGCAGAGGCCACACAAATCATGATCATGGCTACAAACTGCCTTTGTATGCAGAGTTTGGGCCCAGCAAGCTGTACCTCCAACACCAGATGAACCTTAAACATGCCTTCTTTTGTAGCAGTCACTGAATTCAACACCACACCTGTTCTAGACACCACCTAGGTATGGTCACACTACACACACAGTACCAGAAAAGACTGGCATCAACATCTCCCATGTCCAGACTATGCCTTGTAACCCAAAGTAGTTCATCTTAATTAAGAATAAACTGGTTTGTACCAAGAACCTACAATAAATAAACAGCATCATTTCTTATGCCAGGAATCAACATAAGCCTCCACACTGCAAAGCCTGGGAATTGAACAGGAAGCTCATCATTTCAAGAGCCAGCTCCCCAGGGATAATGCAGGCACCTGCTCATGCTGCTTGCACAGCAAGCGGTGTGGTCTAGAAACACAATTCGGAACAACTATTTATGGAGCAGATAATACTTCACATTTAGCCTGAAAGAAGTCTGTGATGCCTTTCATCCCATCCAAGTGCTTTCAGCCACTTGGGCTCCACTTGGATACAGATGCCCATCATCATCCAAGTTAGGATGATCGACTCAAGATCTCTACACGGCTGACCTTCCAGCCCTGATGAGTGTGAATGCTATCTTTACCCCTGCACGTTAGAGCCCTCTTACTAGACACCTCTTGGGATTAACATCTGCACCACTAAGGCTCTGAGAATGAAGCCTCCCATTCCCCAAAGCTGAGTGGTAACAACCCAGTTAACTGTGGATCCTACCCCCTTCCCAGGCCTGCTCTCAGGAGGGCCTGAGTGCCACCTCAACAGACAGACCCACGCAGTACAAGAGCTCCTCCTCCTTCCTGAGCCTGGCACCCGAGAACTCTGCAGTAGCAGGGAGAAAGGGCAGCAGGGCTGCAGAGGCCAAACACCCAAACTCCTACAAGGCCAGACCTTGCTCCTACAGGAACCACCTTGCACTTCCCATGATCTATCCAAATCTGAGCCTAGGCTACAATCATCTTTTTAAAGGTTTCTACAGATTACTAGAATAGCTTTGTAAAGCACTTTATAAGAAAACACATTATTTAAAAAAATTAATTCTTAAGTTCTTGTGGGGGAGGGCTTGAGAAATACAGGGACTGCAGAGAACTGCTGCAACTGGAAGGCACAAACACTAAAACATAGACCCTCATGGTACTAGTACTGCATTACTCCCACCCACCGACTTAAAAATCCCTCTTCCCCCAGAATGAGAACTAATGCTCACAAAAATGGTTTATGGACACTTCAGTGTTCTCATACAAACATGCACAAATACACTAAGGAAGAATGCTGACTACATGTCTTTAACACTCCACACTTATTATCCCAAATCATTAAAACTAAATGACTCATCCACTCCACTTTTTGCTATGAACTATGACAGCCTGATTATCTATGTTCTTATTTCAGAACACAGAGACGTCCAAGGACATCACACAATGTATTTAGAAGGATGCTAATTCTCATCCCTGTCCAAAACAGTTATTACTTTGGCACAGCTCCACCTTTAGGAAACATTTTAACACAGTCACAACCGCTTTATTATCAACAAGAAACAAACTAGAAGCAGAAATGTTTCTTTATACTTTATTTGAACTATTTCATTCTTAGGTATCAAGAAATAAGAGTGCTTTTTAGAATATTATTACCACAGGGCAGTGAAATGGGCATTTTCTTAGTGTAGTGCAAGTCTTATTAAATGAAAATATTTTAAAATAAAGTTTTATTACCAGTACTGATCGGCACTTAATCTGCTGACCTATAGCTGAAACAATGTCTCAAAAGCACAAAAAAATACCCTCTGAAATAAAGCTTTATGTACAGCACATATAGAGCTCTCTTAGAAGTCTAAAACTATTAGTCTGAGACATTAATGCTTTTAGTTGCTATTCACAGTTGAATATACTGAGAATTAAGTGTTCAGATGACTTTAGAGTACAAAAAAATTTGTCTGGTTTAGTTATAAAGAGCTCTGCCAATATACACAAACTATACACTTCAGACATTCACAAAAAATGTGAGCAAGAAAAGGGTTATCAAAAACATTTAATACAATTAGTCAATAACCCTTCCCACCATGGTCCACATCTACAAAGTTCCCCTTTCCCTCCCCTCTCCCCATCCAAACCCTTTCCCACAGAAAGTCACATACTTACCACAAGTTTTAGCAAGTATGGTTTAAAAAAGGGCCCTCAGGGCAAGTTTTTTATAGTTCAGTTGCCACTATCAACAGATCTGGACCTCGATCTAGACCTCTGCCGGTCTACGGATGACGGAGATTTGGATCTGCTGGAAGAAGCCCGTTTCTGGCTCTTGCTGGGCAGTGGGGATCTGCTGACTGACCGTGACTTGCTGCGGCTCCTGCTGCGTGACCGGCTGTAGGACTTGCGGCTGCGGGAACGAGAGCGGCTGCGCGAGCCAGAGGAGCTCCTGCTGCGCGACCGTGACCTGCTCCGGGACCTACTGAGGAGCCAACGGGAGCGCCACTCAGTGCCAGCCACGGAACCCCACGGCCCCAGCCAGGCACTCCACAGCCCTGCAGCTCGGCTGCCTGCCCACTCACTCCAAAGGTCCTCACTGAATGTTTAAGCATTATTAAGAGTAGAAATCCGTACCTGTGCCTTTTGCTGCCTTCAATTAGTTTGATTTTCCTTCCATTAATTTCTTTACCAGAAAGCTTTTCGATAGCATTCTTTAAATCACTGTAAGAGGCAAATTCAACCACCCTATGGGAAAATAAAAAAACGCAAACAAAGCTCACTATTACAGGTTGTAGTTAACAATAAAAGCAAAATTTACACTGGGAAAAAACCAGCCAAATAAAACCCCAAAACCTACACTGCTCAGTGTAATTATCCTTTGTCATCACTGAAGCATGAAAAATTCCCCTCCCCAAACATTTCCTATGTACATTTTCAAAAGGTAGCTAAATTAAGCCATGAACAGCTGCTGACACTGAAAGCAGCCAGCTTCCCTCCCCAAACATTACATATACAGGTTACTCTACAGCTTTCAAGAGATCACTTGATAGGCTTACCCTTCATTTAACTTAGGTCTGTGTGCATCTGCAAAGGTTACTTCCCCGGCTTGCCTCATGAAGTCTTTGAGATCCTAACACAAGACCACTTTTGTTACGCAAAGAAGTGAAATGAACATTTACTTATACAAAAGCAGCTTAAAGCAAACAAAAGAAACTTATGACTACTGAAAGAGAAATTGTTAGATAAATCACAAACATGGCAACTGCCACACTTGTAATCAAAATTGCATTATCTGTATCATGATCTGTATCAGGGCACGAAATAAATGAGAAAAGCATATTGCTTTAAGCAAAATGCTAATAAAAGAGTCTTAACATTAAGGTAAGTATTAGTCTAAAATGATTTTATAGTTTAAGTAGCAAAGAGAAAGAAAGAGAGAGAAAAAAGAAATAAAAAGCACATTTTTATATCAACTGAATTGACTTTGAAATGCTACCCATATATTTTTTGGACTATTTAGTCTCCATTTACATTACAAGTCTTATACAATGCAAAATTACATTTACATAACACCAATTATTTTGTGCCCCATATGTCATTAAAAATATAGTTTACTTTACCTTTATAAACATTTCCCTAGGCTAGCCAAGCAGCAAACTGCATTAAGCGACCGGAGATACCGTCATGACATATGCCCGACTGGCTCTTCGCCACCCACTTGCCGAACACTACCCAGTCGATGGAAGCCATTAATCGCACTGCCCTCCCTATCAGGAGACTATGGATGGATCCATTCTCTATGCTTGATGGCACCAAGGACCACTTTACTGCGATCAGGATTCCAACGACCACCTAATTTCCAATCTTTCAACTCTTTTCGACCAGGACCTCGTTATTCGGAAGCGTTACAGGAAGAACAGCTCTCAACTTAGGAATCAGATCTCGTTAACGCTCTGGGACCGCTGCAATGTGGCACTTTAAGGAGTGCATCGATTACGTCTAGACCGGCAAACACAAATCTAGAGGTGGCCAAGTGACATTGTAGGAGCTGACTGGAAAGTCAACCAGGCCCGACCAAGAGTGACCAAGACAGAACGATTAGGATAACCCACAGGCACTCCTCGTCATAAGGCCAACGACACAGATAGGCTGGCAAATAAAGGGTTTAATATGTGGTTAAAATGGATTTTAAAAACAAGAAAAAAAATAAATATATATCCTCAAACATATAAATGTATTATTATTATGAATTAACGTTAACTAGCTTTCATTTAAAATATTTAAGTTACATTACTAAAAATCATATTAATCACATAAACATTTTAATAAATTAGGTTTTAATTTAATTAATTGTTTTCCAAAATAATTACGTTACATTACATACCCATTAAATGAAGTCAAAATAGATAATCATGTTTCAACAAACCTGCCAGCTGACACGGGAAGACAAATTTTCCACTATGAGGCGATTTTCTGTTCTTAGAGGTGGGGCATTTCTGTTTTGAAACAAACAATTCTGAGTTCTATCAGTAAATACAATATAACCACGTTAATATTAACGAGTGCTGTAAGAGCTAGTATCAGCATATCATTAGTACTATAACCTAAGCTATGTAATGGCCCAAGCAATCTAGGCCAGGCATTAAGTACTTAAGGGAGGAAGCCTAAGGATGACAGGCATATCTGAGAAGTTCTGTAATCTTCACTATCCTGCTGCCACA